CAAGCGCCAGCCCTCGGCCCTTCCACTCCCTGCACGGCTCCCTCAATAAAGACGTCTCAACCCCACTGATCTCGGTCCGTAGCTCCCAGAGCGCAGGGCTATGGCCTTCAGTGTCCTGCGTCTCCCATGCCAAATCCATGGCCTCCACCACGATGGGAGGTGGGTGCAGTGGGACCCTGGCTCCCGGCGGGGGGCACAAGCAGGAAGATGGGCCTGGCTACCAGCTTCGTGTCCTTCCACCCAGCACCCGCAGCGGGGGCAACCACTTGGAGGAGCCAGGGTGGGAATCAAAATCTTTATTTACCAAGGAACCGGCAGTGGCATCGGCTGTTCTGCACCAGGGCGAGCAGGAGCCAGGCCCTGGGCGCCTCTGCCCGCCCATCGGCCACCCCTGCTGGAACAAGTACCCCAGAGCCTCTCTCCCCTGTGAGGGTCCTTGCGTCTGTGGCTGAGGAAGGTGTCAGCACCCGGTGCCACCGGGCAGCTTGTCCAGGATGGGCGAGGGCTGCGCGCGCCGCTCCTGCGGCCTCCCTGCCCTCACTGCACCTGGGGCAGCAGCCTCACCCTTCTGGGGCCCCGCGCCCCTCCAGCAGCACCTGCGGGGCCGCAGCGTGAGCGCAGGGTGGCCCCGGGGCCTGGTCTGGGGCTCACGCCCTCCTTGGAGACCTTTTGCGGGGCCTGGTCCGGCAGGGGCCGCCTCACAGCAGCAATGATGGAGCCCTCCAAGCCGGAGCAGAGGCTGCCCTTGCCCTGAGCACAGCCCTGCACTGCACTCACCCTCCAGCTACACCCAGGAATCATCGAGTCCCCCCAGGAGCTGTCTGGTCTCGCGTGGTGGCGCCACCTCTGTCGCATCCGGCTTGGACAGCTAGAGGGAAAGTGACTCCAAAAACATGTGCACGGTAAAAGCAGGGTGGAGGTCCCCTCAAACAGCTTGAGGGAGCCAGAGGGCTGTGCAGGGCAGCCGGACTGAACAGGCCATCGGGATACACGGAGAGAGGGTCCCTCTGTGACCAAGCTAAAGACTGCCAGTGCCTGGCCAGGGCTGTGCAGAAGGGGCTCAGTCACTGCTGGGGGCACGGCCAGGAGGGCCACAGGCCCCTTGAGAAAGGCCACCACCCCAGCATCCGCACGGGCGGCCAAGCCACCTGCATGGGACAAGGGGCCCAGCGAACCCAGCACCTTCAAGCTGCAGCTGAAGGAAAGCCCGGCTGGAGCACGGCAGGCGCTGCTGCTGGCGTACCTGCTTGCTGAGGGAGGTGCGTGTGCACGGCCTGATGCCCTGCACGATCAAGGCCATACAAGAGCACCTGCCCGACAGTACAG